TGATTCGGACGAGCCAGACAAATTGTCATAAATCTCTCCAATTTGTACCAAAACATTTCCCGTACATGGATCGTGTGTTCTGCCAAAAGGTTATCTTGACCCAAACGAGGACATGAGAACATGACATAATGAAGAGACCAGATGTGCTTTGTTTTTGGTTCAACGGACTGGTGGAAAGTGACTTAAGGGGGGTGAAGTTTGACTATAAAAGTGATCCGTGAAAAGTAATACATTGGATTTGTTTGGATGTGCTGAACTTGTAATATGTTGGCTTGTTCTCATTAAAACACTTCCCGCTGTGTTGCAACTTCCGTTCGTCGTTTCTTGCATTTTGCCACAACACTAACAGTCTACAATCAAGCGGCGGCTCTTCATCGTTCTTGCTACTTCAGCTCCACTGATGGGCCCAGTAGAGGTTTCCCAGCTGAAAAGGGAACTACGATCCATTGAGTGGCTCATGGAGGACGTCCTCCAACGGCAGACGGAGCTGTGTTCCCAGCTAACATGTCTCGAGCCGGTGAGGATCCAGCAGCCTCGGACCATGGATGTAGCAGCTATTCTCTCTGGTGACCCTGGTCCGACTTCACCTCGGCCCCCATCCTGGGCCTCTACAGTTAAAGGTTGGAGGTTCTCTTCCCCTCTACGACCCGCTCAGCATCAGCGGTGATGACACTCCACTCTTCAACTTTTTCTCACCGCTGGCCGAGCTTCCTCTAGAGCCTGTACTCTCCTCTATTCCACCTCCTGCCCGTGGAGCGGACCGTGTGAGGCGTCCCTCTAGAAAGCGCTCCATTCCCACCAGAGCCACCTCGTCAACAGACTCACCATCACCTGCGTCAGGGACCCCCCCCCCGGGGGGCAAACCTCCTCCCACTCAGGCATCAGCTCAGGTGGTCAATCATTCAGCTCATTAATGATCGACCACAGACTCAGATCACAGCTTGCAGTACATAAAGGAACCCTGCAACCGGGCCACCTGAGATTTGAATAGTTGGAGACTCAATCATCAGATTTGTGAAGCTCCCAGGTGCAATGACATACTGTGATTTTATTGAGCTCTCGTTGACATCATCCCTCTGTTCTCACTGTGATAGTGCACGCTGCCACCAATGACGTCATGTCAAGGCAATCCTCAAAGTTCCTTATCAACTTGAGTCGTGTCACGGTCTTGGTTTTGGTTTAGTTTGTTTCCTGTTTTATTTTGAAGTTCCCCGCCTCTTGTGCCCCGTGTTCACTTCACTTCCTGTCTGTGTGATTGCCTGCCCCGCCCCTGATTGAATCCTCCTGTCTGATCACCTGCACCTCCCCAGTGTATTTAAACCCTGTGTTCCTGTCTCAGTGTGGGTATGTCTGCTCTGATCTGCTTCCCGGTATGTTCCTGCTATCATGGATGTATCCCTCGTGCATTTTCTTTCTAAATGACCTCATTCTGTTTTGTCTTTTCCCGTTCTGGTACTCTTTGGATTATTTGTTCCTCCCTTTTGGACTCACCTTTGTAAGTTTTGTTTTGGACTATTCTTTATTTAAATCACTGTTAAATATCCTTCTGCTCCTGAGTCTACCTGCATCTGGGTCCATCCCCTGTTGCCCTCTTTGCCCCCCTGTGATAAGTCGCTTGCCTCCACCATAGAAAGCCTGAGGAGAAGGTGGAGCCTGTCTGGTCCAAGTACCACTATGACCAAAAGCTGTGACCGTTTTAGTCTTTTTAGCTGCTGCACCTGTGGACGCAAAATATATATACTCTCTAACAACACCATATATGTGACTTAGCGTGTGTTCCTTCCTCACTAACAACACCATGTATGTGACTTGGCGTGCGTTCCTTCCTCACTAACAACACCATGTATGTGACTTGGCGTGCGTTCCTTCCTCACTAACTACACCATGTATGTGACTTGGCGTGTGTTCCTTCCTCACTAACTACACCATGTATGTGACTTGGCGTGTGTTCCTTCCTCACTAACGTCACCATGTATGTGACTTGGCGTGTGTTCCTTCCTCACTAACTACACCATGTATGTGACTTGGCGTGTGTTCCTTCCTCACTAACTACACCATGTATGTGACTTGGCGTGTGTTCCTTCCTCACTAACGTCACCATGTATGTGACTTGCCGTGTGTTCCTTCCTCACTAACGTCACCATGTATGTGACTTGCCGTGTGTTCCTTCCTCACTAACATCACCATGTATGTGACTTGGCGTGTGTTCCTTCCTCACTAACGTCACCATGTATGTGACTTGGCGTGTGCTTCAATGTGTAACAGGACCGTATGTGGGATGTCTGCGCTGCTTCCATTAGAGGAAGTAACTCAATGGGGTGCGGACAGTTAACCACAGAATGTTTAGGTCAGAAACAGATGTTAGTGAGGACTCATCTGACGCATTTTATTTATTAAAAATCTTATTTTACGGTTTGATTGTGTTTCTTATTTGCTTTCATGTTTTATTGTGAAGCACTTTGTAACTTTATTTTGGAAAAGTGCTATTTAAATAAAGTTATTATTATTATCATCAGTTTGAAATCCTCACCTTTGATCAACAGAGTGGTGTCCATCTTTGAAATTAATATAATGAGGCATAGACCAGTCACTCTTCATGGACACACAGCTGGGTCCAGGTCCAGGACAGTCTGGTCCCTGATGGATGCTGGTCACATGTGTAGAAACAGTCAGTGAATGAAAGCCTTTGAGTCATGTACAGGTAGAGATGGTCATCTCACCTCTGAGCTTTGGTGTGGCTGGTTTTAGAGGGAGGGACTCCCTCCTCTCTGTCCTTACACTGATTCATAGCAGAGTCCACACCTTCACACAAACACAACATTATTTCTCTTCATCATGACAAACACACACAGCTCATTCACCTCAATACTAAAGACACTCATGGGACAGTTTCCATGGTGTTGTCACTTTGAGCTGCAGAGTCCTCTCTAAGAAATGACGTTCACAATGCTCTTTCGTCTGTTGGCTTGTTTGAAGACTAGAAGAAGACTCTTCATGTGGCTTTTTATTGGCCTCTTTGGGGATGACGGCACTTTTCACTTCTATTTGACTGACTTTGAAAAGCTCTTCAACGTTTGAAATGTTCCTCTGTTTCCACGTCTACTACATCCAGTCAGAGCAGGACGCAGCTCGTCCAATAATCCAAAATCAGTCATGTGACCTTGTTAGCTACTGCTGAATTCACATCACTTTGTACCTTCATGTGTAGAGGAACCAGTGAGAGCAGAACTGAAAGCATCCGTCCAATCATTGATCAGCACATCAGCACTCATTCCTCCTTTACATCAACGTCGTGATTCTCTCTGATGGAGTCACACTGTCTCCTCTCAATGAGGCTGTTAGGGGAGCTGTCGCCCTCTGGTGGCTCAGAGGGAAACCGTCACCTTGAACTGACTCATTTCACCGTTTACCGCTTTTCACAATAAAACACCATTTGTTGGGTTGATCTTTGAAAACTGTTTAACATCAGCTGAACAGTTTCTTTATGCAGACAGACGCTTACACACATAAAATGAGTTTGTCTAAACGTCATTGAGCAGTAAAAGCTTCATTTATTTGAGGATCATCACGTTTGTGCTTCAACATGAAGATTAAAGAGAAGCTGCTTCCTTCAGATCGTCACAAATTATTTTTAAACAGTCAAATCAAACTGAATTCACATTTTTAAATAATCAGCGATTCTTACTAACCGTTAGAAGCAGAGAAGAAGAAGCTACGACACCACGAGCTCCAGAAGTGAAAGTAAAGAGGAAACGGGAAGGGAGGGGCCGTCACGAGGACACTACTTCCTCATGTTGCTTTGTGTTAAAGTTCATATCAAACAATATCCACCTTATCAATCCTAGGGGGGGGGGGCAAATATGAAATTATGTGTAGAAATATAGAAATAATATTGTCAGAAATGTTTTATGAAGCAAACAAAGGAGAGATTATAATCATTGTTTTGATACTTTGTTTTATCATTTTATCAAGAAAAAAACAGAAATTCAGAAATGCCATCTTTTTGTTTGTTTCCGTTTTAAACCAAAAACGACAAAACTAGAGAACCAAAGTCAAATAAATCCCTCATCCCTTTATGTCTCTGTCCCTGGTATCTGTCTCTGGTCTCTGTCCCTGGTGGACTTATTGAGTCCAGCATCCATACCTGTGCCCCACCACCAGGTGGCAGCAGTCTCACTACAGTAAATTGCAAATGAACCATGAACATCAAATATGTATGGCAGATCATTTCCGCAAGGCGGGGGGTGGATTTTTAGTTAACTTTTTTTTTTTTGCTGTTGGGAATGGGCTTCCATAAATATGAGATGAAATAAACATCATTAAATACATGTGTGTCAATAACCTGGATCATGAACAAAGAAGAGGTAAACGTGAGTAAATGTGCTTTAAATACACGTGTACTGCCATCTAGTGGTAGAAATGTGAAACACTAACTTCAACAGTCTGAGCTCTGAGTTCACTAAAACATGTGGAGACATAAGTATCAGTGGTAAGAGCAACAACTCTGTGAACACAACATGACTTTAATTAAACTATATTATGAACTGTATCACATCAAACAATCCTCAGATTACCTCACTACTGAGTGGGAGGAGCCATGATCTTTAGACACGCCCCCTTGAGAGTCTCACCAGCGAGGATTTGGATTTCTGCTTTTTTGCTGTATTGAAAACGTACCGAACCGAACCATGGCACCACTGTGTCGTATTGAACCGAACCGAGAATTTCGTGAACCGTTACACCCCTAATATATATATATATATTATATATACTATTACTGTATACACTATACACTAGTGTATATATACACAAACACACATAAGCAGCATTTCAATGTTATAATTGGTGGCGGTGTAAGGAGGACTAAAGATGTCATTAAATACATAAATAATTAAGTTATTACATGAACGTAGTGCAGTAAAAACTACAATATTCACCTCTGAGATGTAGTGGAGTACAACTATAAAGTAGCACCATAAACCTGAAATACTTCAGTGCCTCTGACACTATAGAGAATATTAAACATGTTATTATCATTGACAGTAACGTGAAGCAAGAATGTAACATGACATCTACACTGTAGTCTGTGAAACTCTACTTTTTGTCCGAATACAGTGCACCAGCAACTTTAAAGAATTAACAACAGTTTTGATGGAAACTACATATGGATAATTTAAAGATGCAAATACAGGTGAAATAATACACACCAGGAACTGTTGATGGACGACCCGCTCCTTCTGGCAGCAGACACATGAGGTCCTGGGGAACAGGCACTGGTCTCTTTACAGTTAGAGCTGCAAGGAGAGAAGGATCACAACACATAGTCAATGGTTTATAACGAATATGAGGACAGTGAATATGACAGATACGTTTAAATGTTGGATGCATTTACCCTCTATGTGAACCCTTCAGATGAGTTGGTGCAGCCAGTGCAGCAGATGGTTCTAAGGAAAAAGCCTTGAAAGTCATTTATATTTTGACAATATACAAACACTACTGTTAGCATCGTTACTTCACCTTTCTCAACCTTATCCAATGACACAGACTGTTTCTAACATTAATATATAAAGAATATATACTTCATTCATACACGTGTGTTCATGTTTCAATGGGTTAATATTCAGTAGCCAGTCATTATGATGTAACCTAGGCAGGTGAAGCAACATGGCACACTTCAAACACATGCATGCAGGTGTTAGTAACACAGCAGTTTCACATGTATGTATATATGTATGAACTGTAACTGATTTTAAATCTTCAGGGGGTAGAAAAAGAAATTAAAGACAGCAAATGTTTACTCACAGCTCTGCACATGTTGCTTGGGGAGGAGAGATACTCAGCATCCCTCTCTCCAGCTCTTCATCTTCATCCATCACTGAGATGCAAACAGACGAGAATAAGAACGTCATTAAATGAATATCTTCTTGTACTTCTTGTATAATGTAATAAACAACATTATTTTAACAGTGATGGAGAAAGTCTACACATCTTGTACTTCAGTAAAGAAATATGTATTAATACCACCACATGGTGTAAATACTCTTTTACAAGTAAAAGTCCTGCATTCAAATCTTACTTACTCAAAGTCTGACTTAAGTAAAAGTACAAAAAGTAAACTTTAAGGAGCAAAAATAAAAGTACTCATGATGCAGAATATTATGCATTAAATTATTATAATTATTGAGGCATTAATGTGCTTATCACTGCAATGACTTTATACACTGCTGGTAGTTTAATCTGTAATAACACATCATTTATAAATTGAGTATATTGTGTCTAATATCCTGATTCTGCTAAATAACTAGTAACTAATGCTGTCAAATACACGTGGAGCAGTAAAGGTACATAACTATAAACTACATGCATTAATAACGATACGTGACGTGATAGAGAGCTCCAGAAAATGCGGGCTGTCACCGGAGAAAGTCTTTCATTCGCAAAACGGCACCACAGCGCAACTAGCGGCCAAAGATATATTACGTCCTTTCGGCTCCACAGCGCTGCTGGTGGCCAAAGATATATTACACCCGTAGTGGTTTAGGACTACCATTGAAAATGAATGGAAAACGGTTTAGGTTGATAAAAACGATTCTCTATGATAGTTCTTATCACTACGGGTGTCATATATTTTTGTCCACAAGCACGATTCTGGGGGCGCTGCTTCTCCCCTTCCATACAAGTAAGGAGACCCCGTTTTCCTTTTTGAGTGACAGACGTGCAGCATCTACAGCAGCAGACGACAGTAAACAACCTGTGCTTTCCACAGAGTTTTATCACGGCTCTATCTTCGGACAAACAGTCAAACATATCCCACGTAAGTACGGCTCATTTGTTCAAGTATTTAATGAACGCCTCTCAGTTGTGGGTAAACTGTTTTTATAGTTTGATTACATACTTACGTAACGTTATATTTGCTGTATGTATGTAATGTTTATATGTCAGCATTAACAGTTACTCATTAGCTTGTCTTCATTAATCACATTCATATTGGCCTTCTTACTATCAACAAGCTCCCAATGTGTTGAGGCAAAGTATGTAGTCCTCCCATACTAGCAGTGTATCTCGTTTTAAAATCAAATCTAAGTTATAGAGTGTATATTACTCATGTGTTTTAATGTGTATATCTCACTTGCCTTCCCTGTTTGTATCTCACTCTCGTAGATTCATCATTCAGAATATTGCCCCTGTGGAAACACAGAGAGACACTGTCCTTGAGGAAGCAGAGGGGGGCTGAGTGGAGGAAGGTGGCAGAGAGGAAGAAGAGGGAGTCAGCGGTGCAACTTCCAACAGGTGGCCTGTGCAGGGTCTGTCACCAGCCTCTGAAGCAGGGTCCCAGCAGTGAACCTCATGTGCAGCAGCTTCCCCGGGGTGTCAGGGAAATACATCTACTGCCCCTCCAGAGTGTTCTCCCTGCACAAGGACCAGGACATGGTGAAGGAGAAGACCCGGAGAGACTTCTCACAGTCTGACTTTATGAGGCTGAGAGGGACAGATGGATCACAGAGAAGAAGAAGTGACCACGAACTCACCAAAACCCCAAATATACACTCACACACAATACTGTTCAATATATTGTATTATTATTAATTTAATTATTTAACTAGTATAAATATAATTATTGCATTAGAATGAATATCATTATTTAATTAGAATGTATACATTTAAAGCACGAGAATAAATATGGTTTGGATGCGGACATTTGAGAAGCTGAAACTAGATAATGTTGACGATTATTGTTTCAGCACTTATATTGTAAATATGTTTATGGATACACCATCTACTGTATATATACTGTATATTAAATGTATTGTTCATTTGTTTTATATATGATGTTTTAGGGGCATTTTGTTTTTGTGCATCTGTATTTTTTCAATAAAATATCTTGAAAGTGCCCCTCTGACTGTCTTTACTTTCGGGGTGGTAATACATAGAAAATTAAATAATCAAACATTTATATATGCTCATCTGCACAATAAACATATATTGTTATTGTTGCAATATAAGTAAAACTGCAGCATCATATTTGGAAATTTGTATCTCATTTGCATAATTACTTCAAGATACATTATTCTATCTTGATTCTTTGACGTGAAGCACTTTGTGTTTATGCATGAATGCTATACAAATAAATCATCATTATTTTTGTATTATAGCCACATTCTGTAGCTAATCATTTGGACCAAATACTGGACATTTAGTTTGGGTAAGGTGGGAATCGAACCGGCTCATTTTGGAAGGGCTTCTGGTCATGAACATATCTTCTGCACCTATCCGCGGCAGGCCCTCAAGAAAAAGGTTTGAGTATTACTTATTATTCTACCACTGGTTGCAGCACAGCAGTAAGGAAACAGGACAGTGGGTTCTTTGGGTTATTTGGTTTCAGCCCGGCAGGGGGCGATAAAGCGCTGCTGTGTTTAACACCGACCGACTTGATCACAGAAGGAAACGCTGCGTGACGTCATCCGTGTAGCAGCCACAAACAGGAAGAAAACATCCAGCTGTTATCTAAGCAGGGAGAGCTTTGGCTAGCTTAGCAGCCTGTGCAGCATTGTGACAGTAATGAAACGGCATTGAGAGTCGGGAACAAACTGGTGTTCGGTCATGCTGTGTCCGGAGTAGCGGCCGCATCACTGGATACCCTGGGAATATCATTCTACTCGACTTTCCTCCGGTCACGGTGTTACGTCCCTACTGGTTTTTGAACCTACTGGTTTCTCCTCCGAGCGCAGCAGCTGTTTTCTGTCTCTGTCGCCAGATTCGTCAAACATTCGCAAACATATTGCTGGAGATCTATAAACCACATCTCATATTCATTACGCGGATTACGATTGTATAAGTGAGCACTACATCACAGCCACTTATGAAGAACTACATTGAAGAATTGTATCATATATATATATATATATATATATATATATACATACACTTTTTGTTTGGGATATATTTATACTTATATTGTATATAGCTGTTGAATGTTTTTTTCTTATATTTCTCTTGTTTATTGTATATATTTCATATGTGTGTGTGTACGATGAGAGTAATATGTAACCAGAGTCAAATTCCATGTATGCGCACATTCCATGTATGCGCATGGCCAATAAAGCTGATTCTGAAAATATATTTATGGAAAGATCGCAACAACCTGGATTCGAACTCTCTCTCGAAAAGTAGTTATAAACCTAAAGATGGTCGCGCTACGCAATCCGCCACTTATCCTTAGAAATGCATCAGTCATTCAGGTATTTATTCATGAAGTCATACCTCTTCAGTGTCCAGGGAACATTTTGGTTTGGGGTGAACTGAAACAACTGGTTACCTTGGTCGTCTCTTCCAAACATATTTATCAATGCATTTTCAAATGTTGAATGTTCACGCCCAGGGTTTTCTAAATTATATTCAGTCTATAATAACATTAAAAATAATGATAATAAACTTTATTTACATATTACACAGTTTAAAAAGTGCTTCACAGATGTAAAAATGAAAATAGACTCTAGTCACCCCTAAGGGTGAAGACTCCAGTCACCCCTAAGGGAGAAGACTCCAGTCACCCCTAAGGGTGAAGACTCCAGTCACCCCTAAGGGTGAAGACTCTAGTCACCCCTAAGGGTGAAGACTCCAGTCACCCCTAAGGGAGAAGACTCCAGTCACCCCTAAGGGAGAAGACTCCAGTCACCCCTAAGGGTGAAGACTCCAGTCACCCCTAAGAGTGAAGACTCCAGTCACCCCTAAGGGTAAAGACTCCAGTCACCCCTAAGGGAGAAGACTCAAGTCACCCCTAAGGGAGAAGACTCTAGTCACCCCTAAGGGTGAAGACTCCAGTCACCCCTAAGGGAGAAGACTCTAGTCACCCCTAAGGGTGAAGACTCCAGTCACCCCTAAGGGTGAAGACTCCATTCTCTCAGTTTTGCAGCTGCTTTTTATGCTGGTCTGAGGCTTGTACCTCCCTCAAAATCATGCGTCACTCACACATGAGTCATCCTGTTTCTGGATCAACAACAGGATGTTTARCTWGTTTCATCCTGTTTGAACARGATGAATTMTATAAGGCTTGAGTGACTTTCTTAGATAAAAAGTTTTAAAAAGTGTAAACAAGTTATATGTTGTCATGGTTATAAAAAGTGTAAACAASTTATATGTTGTGATGGTTATACTTTTRTGCTTTCATATTTTTCTACARTCTCTTAACACTATTGTACTGYGACTGTGTGAGCATTGTTCTGTCATTTTAATTGTAAGCTTGGACGTGTAGATAATATAAGATAGGAGATATAAGCTATGGTAGGCTCACTAGCTACTAGTGATTAAAGCAGACATCTACAATATGACTTATGTTGATAAGATAATAATGATAGTTTAGTGTACATGGGTAATGTAGTCAGTAATAACAACATGAAGCTTGGTTATGTGGAGTGTCAGCTCGTTGGACTAACACACTGTGACACATTAACACAGACTGGTTTGGTGTGAAATCGTTTCTGTTTTCAAGTCTGCATGCAGTCAAGGCTCGATGACAAGAGATGGACACAGTGCATTCTCTGCACGCATATTTCTTTGTTTTGTGCAGCATTGCTAAATGCTGCACTACTACATAGAGCAGCGTGTGAAAATAGGCAGAGTGGCAAACACACAAACAAACGCCTCAGATGTCTCATAATCTCTCACATCCAGTTTAACAGGATGCACATCCTCTTGGCAGAGCAAAGGAAGAATGAAGACAAAGCAAACATTGTTTTGCCAAAATACCACACTTTAACATTTTATCTATACTGATAACTTTGTACTACTAGGATATTATTATCCGTTTCCGGTGTACGAAAACTCAGACGTAGTGTGGACGCTCAGTGTAAACGTAGCAAAACAATATATGCGTTTT